ACTAAAGATGGAAGTGACAACATAAATATAACAGAAACTTGTGCGCCAGAAAGAAAGGGTAAAGAAAATATTAAATATTCTGTAGATATAATGTCTTTCAAAGTGCCAAAATATATGTGGTGTCATCCTGCTACTAAAATCTTTGATATAAATAACATTAGGCAAACCGTAAGATATATTATGGAGAGTAAAATGAAATGTCCATGTAATTTGTCGTTCAAAAACCATAGGTATAATTATAAAAATGACGCGTGTATTGTATTATATGCTTATTGTGCGGAAACAAATATTCATAAACAGTATTATCGGTTTTTAATCAAAGATTTGGAGAACTCTTACACATCACTAATCATTAAAAGTGACAAAGAATTCCAATCGAGAGACAAAGAAACAACTATACGAAAATTTAAACAAATTAAAGGTATGGAGAGAAAAAATGTTAAAGAAAAATTAAGAGCAGAATCGGTTAGGGATGTTTTTTACGACAGGATTGAAAAAAGTAGTATGGATATGTGGAATATAGGACATCCACAAAAAATTGTTAATGTAGACACAATACATAAAATTAGTTCAGAGATGTCAAAAGAGACGCGCCTTAAATTAAGTGAAACGTTACAAGATTTTTTTCAATTGTGTATAGAGGAAGACAAAGGAACGGATCCTTATTTAAGGGAAGTTTGTTTACCAACGAAAGCATTGATGTATACAAAGGAACAGTTGAGAATAGCATGTGAAAAAAATGTTATAATTCTGCACTTGGATTTGACAAGTTCGATAATTAAAAGACCATGTAATTCCTCAAGAATAGACTATTATTGTCTTGTGGCTAGGTTGCCAGAAGCGGTAATGCCTCTGGCAGAATTTATAACATGCGAAAAGAATGCAAAGAGCATTGGTTTTTTTAGACACATACAAATTTTTCGTAATGTTAGAGAAAAAAAAGTGTCCCGTATTTAAAGCCATAGTTGTCGACTGGTCATGGCCATCACTCAATGCTATTTCTTTTTATTGGAATGGGATGTTAATTTCTACATATTTAGAATTAACATACCGTTACGTTACTGAAGGAGTGTTGAGTGATTTAATAAATTTGACGCTTTTGCTAACATGCATAGCACATGTTTTGCATCGTGCTTCTGTGGCAATTAAAGAAAAGTTTCCTGAATGTGAAGAAAAGCAGAAAATGTTTTTAGACTTCTTTGGCTTGATATTACTGTGTAGGAACATTCTAGACCTGGATATAATTTTCGAGGAGCTAGCAACTGCATTTATTGCAAAAAAGAAAGAAACGGCTGCTAAATCATTAGAAGTTTTATGTGGAACACTGATTAAAGAAAAGGATGATCTGAACAATATGAACAAAGAGTTTGATCTTATAGAAAAAACAAGAAATGAAATGAAATGTGAATATGAATATGAATGTCTGTATAAATCAAATAATTCAATTTATTCAAATTCACCGTTTTTCAAAAGATATTATGCCAAATATATCGCAGCTGAGAAAGCTTTGGAAGAAGAATCTTCTACTACCAACCAGATCACGAATGAATTCTATGCACCTAGGTTTCTAGAATACATTCTTTTAGAGTTCATTCCATACATACCAATTTGCGGCGCTCTTCTACTTGGTATAATCGACGTAAGATTATCCCGAGTAAGTAATGCATATGTAGAAACTTTAAACAAAACGATTAAGTAAGATGTATTAAAAGGTCAGAAAAAACTGGAAATCGGTATGGTCATTCGAGAATTGAAAGCAAATGTGAAGAAAATAATTGAAGAAGCCCATTTAGATACAGCAGAAAGAGGAAAAGGAAATTTACACAAAAAATAGACCTTATTATCCCGACACAAAAAGAAATCCTTTTTTAAACGACATATGGAAACGGAAGACAAGAGCCAGCAGGAAGAAAGCAAGTCACTTGGACAGCATGGAAATTAAAAAATATGCAGAAAAACTTGTTGAATTACATGAACACGATAAAGTGGAGATTGATAAAAAATTAAAATCGTGTAAAATAGAATTTCCTAAAGGAAGAGGTAAAAAGTTTTTACGCCTCAACGATGTCTTAAAGGAAAAGAAATTAAGAAATAAAAGAAAAAGATCTTATTCTTCCTCTGAGGATTTAGATGATCAATATGATCATTCTTGTGAGGAGGAAACATTGGACGTCGATATCGATGAAAAAAGAAGAAAACTAGACATTTCTGAGAATGATGAAAGTACTAAAGATACCCAAGAAGCTGAAATTAAAATAGAAAACATCTGCAGCAAAACAGAAACCATTCAATTTTTAGAAAATGGATTAGTTGATGATACAGCATTTTACAGTTCTTCAAACTCTGTCCACATTGCTATAGGCCGATATAAAGCTCATAAGGGTATGCCAACAACAACGAAAGAAATAATAATTACCTGTTCTGAATTTAAAACTATTTGGGATAGGGAAGGATGCGTCAATGGACTGATTATTGATGCCTTCGCTTTCAGTAGCATAAAAGAGTGGAATTTAAATGTAACTTATATGTCCACTGATGACACAAAAACAGCTATCGGAGACATGTCTGAAAGACGAAGAAATGCAAATATGTCGTTATACAAAGACAAAAAACAATTAAAGAACACTTTATTGCTTCCTTATTGCCATAATTTTCATTGGCGATTACTAATTGTCAACATCAAGGAATTGACTATAACATTAATTGACCCGTTTTCAGAGGCTACAGATAGTAATCGTGTTTTTACAGAATTTAATAATTTTATTCAATTTTGTAATGATGATTCACCCTCCCTAGGGGTTTCAAGACCTTGCCGTTGGTGGGAGGCGCACGAGGGGCTTTTACCCAGTGGGAGGCTACTTCTCGATATCTCTCGTGGGGACTGAGGGGGCGAACCCTTCCAAATGGGTCGGCCGCTACAGAAACCGAATCTTCTGTGTTTCGCTGGGCAGTGTCTCAGGGCACGGGGATTTAGAGGGATATCGAGAGAGACGGGATGGACAGAGGCTTAACCGCGGGTCCATTCCGAAGACTTCCTACTGGTGGAAGTCTGACCAAGAAGAAACCCTTCCATGGTTACGTTGGCTGTGCCATGGCGATTGAGGCGCGAGTCTCTGCCACTCAATCCGTGATGAACTCGTGTCCATGGATGAATGATACTAGGGTTAACAAATCCGTCGGGTTCTTCCGTGGGGAGGGGGTTGGACGGGGGACGACCTTCGCTGGGCACAATTAACCGTAAACCGTAAAGCTCGGGAACAGTTGTGTTACAGGAAGGGCCCGTCTTCTAGACGACCCGTCCCCGGCGTGGGGCTCGAATAGAGGTATCTTGAACGAGACTCTGAGATACCAGGCGAACTTTCAGATGTAATTTAGCCTTTTCCTTAAATAGAGGCTCTTTAAGGATTGACCTTTCTTTCCTCTTTTCTCGTGGGACCATAATGGATACTACAGAAATTAATAAAAATAAAACCACACACGTGAGCGTCGAAGAGCCCTTTTGGGGGATCACGATGCTGGCGATCAAGTTGTGGACGCGACAGAGGGGACCGTGAGTCAGTCTTTAATATGGCTGCTTCCGGGATCCACTGTATGCAGATTAACTTGCATCATTGTAAGGGCGCTTCGGCGATTCTAGCCAAGAACTTTGCAAGGATGCAGGCAGCTATAGCCTTTGTTCAAGAACCTTGGGTTTACAAGGGTAAGATTAGAGGTCTAAGTGGCGGTGGGGTGCCAGTTAGTTCACCACAGGAACCAGTTCCAAGGGCTTGTCTGATCTATAAAGGTTTAGATGCTTTCCCTCTATTGGAAGTAACTACCAGGAACTTAGTTGTTGTTAAGGCTAAGTACCTAGAAAAGAACGGAAATAAAAGGGAGGTTGTAGTAGCTTCCGCATATTTTCCGGGATCGGGGGATGACCCTGCACCACCTGTAGAGGTGAAGAAGTTGGTAGATTACTGTCATCGGCAAGGTCTCCCATTAATAATAGGTTGTGATGCCAATGCGCATCATGTCGTATGGGGCAGCACTGACATTAACGATAGAGGCAGAAGACTTTTAGATTTTCTGTTAGATACAGATTTAGATATTTTAAATCAGGGTAAAGAGCCGACTTTCGTTACTGTTAACAGAAAAGAGGTGTTGGATATTACGATCTGTTCCAAGTCTTTTTGTGATAGCGTGAGGGACTGGAGGGTGTCTGATGAAGATTCCCTCTCGGACCACAGGCTTATTACGTTTAGATTGGAATCGAAGGATCGGGAACAGGAGTGGGGACGTAATCCTAGGAGTACCGACTGGGCTTCATATAGTGAAGACCTCAAGGCCTCCATGGCATGCTTCCCCACTTCCTATGGAACGATGGAGGAGTTAGAGCTTGCAGCGGAATATCTGCGAGATTCTATTATCTGTTCCTTTAAAAGGAACTGTATAGTTAAGAAAATGGGCTTTAATGGGGGCGGTAAATGGTGGACCCCCCGTTTGGAGGAACATAGGAAAACTGTAAGAAAGCTTTTTAATAAAGCCAAGAAACGTAGGCATCAGCGAGGATGGGATGAATATCATACCGCTCGCGATTCTTATAAGAAAGAAGTAGATAGGGCAAGGGGTGTCAGCTGGAGAAGTTTTTGCGAGGGAATCGAGAGGGTACCAGAAGCTTCAAGACTTCATAAAGTACTAGCTCGAGACCCAATGGCAAAATTAACTACTATTAAGCTGCCTAATGGGCAGTATGCCCAGGATAAAAGGGAGTGTCTAAAGTACCTGATGGAAGTAAACTTCCCGGACTTTAGAGAAGGTTTGGAGAACAGCCAGGGCATAGGACCAGATAGGAACCGAGGATATCGGGAACACTGGAAACTAGCAGCCAGGGTTGTAACTCCGGAAGGGATTGATTGGGCAATAAGCACTTTCAAACCATTTAAGGCTTCAGGGGGGACGGTATATATCCGGTTCTTTTGCAAAAGGGATTGGATTGTATTAGAGTACCCCTGTGTAAAATTATGAGAGCCTGTATAGCTCTTGGTTATACACCGGAGTCTTGGAAAAAGACGAGGGTTGTGTTTATTCCGAAGGCCGGTCGGTCAGGCTATACTGTGGCGAAGGACTTCAGGCCAATCAGCCTAACTTCCTTTATATTAAAGACGTTAGAGAAACTGGTGGATAAGTTTATTAGACAGGAATGTCTTAAAGATTTTGCCCTACATCAAGGACAGCATGCATATAGAGCAGGCTTCTCAGTAGAAACAGCTCTCCATTCGGCAGTAGGTAGAATAGAGGGACAAATTAGCAGTGGTGGTTATGCGGTTGGTACCTTTCTTGATATCGAAGGTGCCTTCCCTAACACCTCTAGCAAAACTATCTGCAGGGCAGCCAGGATGCGAGGCGTGCCCGAGCTGCTAGTTAAGTGGATCAACAGCTGGATCATGCTTCGCGAAAGGGCCCTAGAAGCAGAGTATGGTGAGGCCAAGGTAACCGGCCTTGTCTCAAAAGGGTGCCCACAGGGAGGAGTTCTCTCTCCTTTATTGTGGTGCTTAGTGGCAGATGAGTTAATTAGAAACCTCAATAGCCAGGGATATTATACGCAAAGTTATGCGGATGATTTCCTTATAATTATAAGAGGGCACTCAATTGAGACCCTCTTAGAACTTACGGAACGTGCGCTTAAGATTGTCAAGGATTGGTGCAATCTGACTGGACTTTCTGTAAACCCAGAGAAAACGAATATAGTAGTTTTCACAAGAAAATATAAGGTACCGAGTTTGAAAAAACCGATATTTTATGGAAAAGAGATTTCCTTTTCTGAATCGGCTAAGTATCTGGGAGTAATCCTGGATAAAAAGCTGGTTTGGAGGGAACATTTCGAATATCAGTATAGCAGGTTTTGTACCGCGTTTTGGGCGTGTAGAAGGGCGATAGGGTCATCATGGGGACTAAGGCATAATATGGTCAACTGGCTCTATCAGATGATCTTAAAACCAAGGTTTCTTCACGCGGTGGTTGTCTGGTGGTCTAGGACTCAACTGATAACGGTTAAAGAGAAACTAGGCCAACTGCAAGCAATGATTTTCAGGGGTATTACGGGGGCAATGAGGACCACGCCAACAGCTGCGTTGGGATTCATGCTTGCCGAGGTACCTCTGCATATTGCCGCGGTGAAAAAGGCGGCTCTTACTATGAGCAGGTTAACTGCGCAGGGAAGGTGGAAGGTTGGTGGTATACACACCAAGCTTCCACGCTCAATTCTATCAATACCAGAATTAAGTATGGTGCAAGATAGAATGATCAAGAGGGTGAAATTTAAACCCTGCTTTAAGATCATTACACCTTCCAGAATGAACTGGAAGAAAGGTTTTCCACTTGGGGACGAAGTCTGGTATACAGACGGCTCCAAGATGGACTGCGGTGCAGGCTTCGGAATTTATCGGAAAACTGGCTGCATTAAAGTGGCTGAGTCATTAGGACAACATGCCACGGTCTGGCAGATAGAGGTCTGTGCGATTTTAACTTGCGCCCAAATATCCATTCGTAATGGAACAAAGGGCAAGAGGATTAGTATTTGTGTGGATAGTCAAGCGGCCTTAGGGGCTCTGAAAAATCTCACAATAGAATCAAAACTCGTCTGGGAATGCCGCAGCGTACTAGATGAGTTGGGTTCAGCAAATAGACTTTCATTGATTTGGGTACCGGGTCACTCGGAAATCAAGGGTAATGAAAGAGTAGACGTCTTGGCGAAAATCGGTTCCGATACGAAATTTATAGGTCCTGAACCAGCAGTGGCAATAATGCCATGCTTGGTTAAGGGAGCCATAGAAAGATGGGGTGAAAGGGAACATAAGAAGTATTGGGCGAACGTTGGGGTGGGATGGCAAGCGAAAACTCTGTTGGGGTTAGCACTCAACAAGAGGCGAGCGAGCGATCTCCTAAAACTCGATAAGATTAGAGTTAGAACCGTAGTTCGTCTACTTACGGGTCATGGACTATTGAACTACCATCAGCATAAAATAGGCAGACAAGTTTCACCTATGTGCAGACTGTGTGGGGAAAGTAACGAAACTTCGACTCACATATTATCTGAATGCCCAGCGTTAGCTAGGATCAGGCTATCTAGCTGGGGTCAAGCAATTATTATTGACCCTAAGCAGGTGAGCAACCTATCCATAGAAGAGATACTGGACTTCTGGAGAAGAACAGGACTCTAAGAAGTTGCTATAAACGAGCGAACTGGAGTCTGGTACAATGGGTTCTATAACCTAGGTGCTTACTTTCCCCTCTTGAGGAAAATCCAGCTCTATCTCGGTGTCAGATTAGATTAGATTAGAAAGATGATTCATCTTTTGGTAAACTAAAAAGAGAGAAATTAAAATATAAAATTTTCGAAGGAAACAAACCACATCAAGAAGTGAAAGATTTTGTAAACTGTGGAGTGTACATTTGCTATTATATGGATTGTATAGCAAAAATTATGGATATGGACAACACATTTGACCCAACTAATTATAGATCAGAAATATGTAAAAAAAAATTTAAGACATGCAGAATCAAACAAAGGTTACTGTTTGTATTGCTTAAGAAAAAATAGAGACAACAAAGAGGCCAATTATTGTCAGAAATGCCGCAGGATTATGCACAAGAGTTGTTGTGAGAAAATTGAAGGTGAGAAATATAAAGAAAAAAAGATGGTAAGACTGAAATGTAATGTTTATGAAGTGTGTCCACTATGTAGACTTTATAGCAGTAAATAATCAAACGTAAAAAAATGTCGATATTTTTTAGGGTTACATACACTCAAGAAGGCTAGAGACAGGAGGTGAAACTTCGGTAGTGGGGATGAGTCAAGAACCTTTCTTTAACCAGGCGTATTTCGTTTCGAAAAGTCGCCGGCGCGGTGCTTCTGCACATCACTCACACATTCAAATTCTTGTATACCGTGTGTTTCACATGTGTATGATATGATTTTAATTTGAGGTTAACTTTAAAGTGCAATCGTGACACAATGTGTGTCATAACGGATATATATAGGGGAAGTGCGCCGGTTGTGGGCACCCTCCGGTTGTGGGCACCCCTACGTAAACTTCGACGGCAAGCAGACTTTACTGATCTAAGTATTGCAAGTCGTGTTCGTTGACAATACGGACTTTTCGTATTGATAACGAAACAAATATATGCATTTGTGTAATAGCTGTGAGCATAATAAAGAAAATTTGCATTAAATAAATAAAAAAGTAATTTTGTATTGTTTTCGAAGAGCAACATATGGGTGTAGATTCGTTCAGAAAAAAAGGGTTTAATTTTTTTTTTGCAGTGTTGTCATTATATTTTGTGATTTACCTTCGTGTTTAACCAAAATCCTGCATCACAAAATGTGTTGGTCTTTTTAAAAAATGACTGTCATTCCCGGTTGTGGGCACCTTTATGTTAAGGAGGCTCTACCATCTGACAATGATGAGGACTACTGTCTCATCTGTCTAAACTTTCTGCCAAGGAAAGTGACAGCCACAAACTCCATTAAATGCGATGAATATAGTCGTTCAGTGCATTAGAAGTGCGTTATGTTATGAGTACTAGCTACTTCACATGCAAGCATTATGCTTTTGTTAGCTATGAGCATAGTGTGAAAACGTGTCATCAATTTTGTTCTTTATCCCAGCAAATTCTCTTAAAATAAAGAAACTTTCATTTCTTCTTTATTTGTGTTGGTTTCCTTTAATATTTTTCCATTTTTAGCGGATTTTTCAAGGGTGCCCACAACCGGGTACAAAATTTTTTTTGTCAAAAAATTCCCATTTCACTAAATTTCTAATAAAACTTTTTTATTTAAAGGAATCAATTTAATTCCTTCACTGACAGTCACCTTAGACCTCTAGCTTTAAATTCGTACACATATATTTGTATAATATGCACATGGACAAATGTTATGAGGCAAAAACAAAAGGGTGCCCACAACCGGAACACTTCCCTTATATATATATATATATATAGAAATAATGTGAGTGATTATTAAATTGAGTGTTATTCAAATAATTAAAAATTCCGAAAACGTGCTGTGTGAAAAGTTGAAACAAGAAGAAAGATAAACACAGCACTATGACTATTATTTTTTGTTAACTTTTAATACACTTCATGCTATAGTTTACACATTTTTTTGTTTTTAAAACTTTTTTTTAATAACTAAAAGATGTTTGAAAATATAAACACTTATATTTCATATTGTATTTGTATAGAATATATTTTCCCGTGTTTACGTGTGTAGCTGCGCAGAAGTCCGTGTGGCCTATTGCGGCGAAAACTTTTTTTGAAAGTAAACGCCTGACCATACATCAGCTGAGCGACTCAGCATTGCCATACCCCCACTACCGAAGTTTTACCTCCTGTCTCTAGTCTTCTTGCCTACACTAAACACGGAATTTATTATTTAAAAATCATTATTATGTACATTAAAAATTCTAAAATACTTTTATAAGAACCAAATGCAACTGTCATGAAAAATTGAGTTAATTCCTAATGTTGCTAATACTCAAATTCAAATTTTTATCTATAAATCATTATTGCTTTAATGAGAACAACATAAGTGTTCTTCAAAAACCAAACACAACTGTGACACTTAATGCAGTATATTTTTAAAAAGATTAATATTCAAATACAAATTTTTTTTAAGGATCAGTATTATTTGATGTAAAACATCTAAAATAATCTTATAAGAAACAAATGAAACTGTCATGCAAGATGCAATTTATTCTTAATGTTATCTATACATGCTCAAGTTCGAGTTTATTATTTAGAAATCATTTGTGTTGAAACCAACATAGTCTTATAAGATCCAAATGCAAATGTTAAGCAAAATGTAGTTTATTCTTCATGTTATCTATGCTCAACTTCGAATTTCTTAATCTTATAATCATTAATTGGTAAAATCAAGTTAGTCTTATAAAAACTAAATACAGTTTATTCTTAATGTTATGTATGCTCGAATTAAATTTTTATTTTATTAAGAAATCATTAGTGTAGAAAACAACATAGTCCTATAAAAATCAAATGTATTATGAAAAATGCAGTTTATTCTTATTATCTATGCTCAACTTCGAAATTCTATCTTAAAACCATTATTGCTTAAATTAACTCAACCGAAGTGTTTTTCATAAACAAAACACAACTGTGATACTTAATGCTGTTTATTTTTAAGGAGAATTGTACTTAAATTCAAATTTTATTTGAAAATCAGTATTATTAGATGTAAAATATCTCAAATAATCTTATAAGAAACAAATGCAAATTCCATGCAAAATACACTTTATTCTTAATGTTATCTACATGCTCAACTTCGAATTTTTTTTATGAAATCATTAGTGTTGAAACCAACATAGTCTTATAAGATCCAAATGCAAATGTTAAGCAAAATATAGTTTATTCATAATGTTATCAATGCTCAAAAACGAATTTTTTTATCTAAAATTTATTATTGCTTAAATTAAGGCAACTAAAGTGTTATTCAAAAACCAAACACAACTGTGATACTTAATGCAGTATATTTTTAAAAAGATTTGTACTCAAATTCAAATTTTGTTGGATTTAGAAAACTATATTGTTTAATTTATAAACTCTAAAATAGTCTTATAAGAAACAAATGCATCTGTCATGCTAAAAATACTTTATTCTTAATGTTATGTATGCTCAACTTTATTAGTATTGATACCAACTTAGCCTTATAAGGCTAAAAAATGCGACTGTCAAGCAAAATATAGTTTATTCTTAATGTTATCTATGCTCAACTTCGAATTTTTTATTTAGAAATCATTATTGATAAAACCAAATTAGTATTATGAGAACCAAATGCAACTGACATGGATGATGCATTTTATTTTTATGAATATTTATACCTAATTTAAAATTTTTTATTTAAAAGTCATTATTATTTAAATATTAAAACTTCTAAAGACTTATAATTATTTTAACCGATTATGTAATTATTTCTTCAGCTAAACATTTGAATTTACTATGTATATGTTAATTATATAGAATGTTTCTTGCTTTAAAAGATTCATGGAATTTTACAAGAATGTACGAAGTGGAAAAAGTAATTTTCATGATGTATTGTATTTGTTTATATTTAGAAATTGTTTATAATAAATAATTGTTCATACATCTAAATGCTGCAAAATTATTGCTGTTAAATTAACCACCCTACAGTTAAAATATTTTGGCAATTTAAGGAAATTGTCACTCGGATGTGGCTGAAATTTACAAAATTTCTAAAAACAAAATAAATAATAATATTACATTAATGATTATAATTATTATATTTTCTTTAAATTTATATTATTTGTAGATAAATGATTCTTAAAGACCATAATTCGATAAAAATTTAAGTAAATCATAAATTAGAGATCAACTTTCCTGCAGCTTTATTATTTTTTAGTTTTTCAGAAAATAAATTATGTATATATAATTTGGTTAAAATTAATTTTAACCATTTAATTTTTACTTTAATTTTAAATACAACAATTAGGTTTTAAGATACATTAAGCAGGGTATCTATTTTTTTGACAAAAAGTCAAAATTTTCGTATTTGTTTCAATTTTCAAATTTTTTTTTAATTTTTTCGAATTTTTTTAATATTTAAGGGTGGAAATGACAATTTTATTCAGTTCAAACGGGGTTAATATTTTTTGTGTATTCATTGGCTACCTAGAGGAGTGATTAAATGCAATAAAATTTTTGGTCTGGTTGTTTCTTAAGAAAAAATTGATTTTTTCCAATTTTTTCGAATTTTTTAATATTTAGGGGTGAAAATGACAATTTTACTCTGATCATACAGGGTTAATATTTTTTGTGTATTCAATGGCTACCTAGAGGAGTAAATAAATGCAATAATATTTTTGGTCTGGTTGTTTTTTTAGAAAAAATTAATTTTTTACAAATTTTTTCGAATTTTTTTTTATATTTAGGGATGGAAATGACAATGTTACTCTGTTGATATGGGGTTAATATTTTTTGTGTATTCATTGGCTACCTAGAGAAGTAAATAAATGCAATAATCTTTTAGGTCTGGTTCTTTCTTTCGAAAAAATTGATTTTTTCCAAATTTTTTTAATATTTAGGGGTGGAAATGACAATGTTACTCTGCTCAAACGGGGTTAATATTTTTTGTGTATTCAATGGCTACCTAGAGGAGCAAATAAATGCAATAATATTTTTGGTCTGG